AACAAGGAGCAAGGTTAGGTCTACACACACTGCAGAGGAAAGTCATCAAAGTGCCAGGCGCGGTGGTGCACACTTTAATCTCAGAAGCTCGGGAGGCTGAGAGAGGAGGATCATGAATTCAAAGCCAGCCTCAGCAAAAGCGAGGTATTAAACAACTCAGTGAGACCCTGTCTCTAAATAAAATACCAAATAGGGCTGGGATGTGGCTCAGTGGTCAAGCACCCCCTGGGTTCAATCCTTAGTATAAAAAAAAAAAAAAAAAGAAAGTCATCAATGAGATGACAAGAGCTTAAAATACAAATATTTTTTTTAAAAAGGAATAAATAACCAAGGTTAAAAAACAAAGCTGAACTTTATTTTTTTAAAGGATAGACTTTCTAGAAATGCAAAATAGGATCATCAACATCCAAAGGCCAATGGATGGGTTAAGCAGCAGGATTGCACTGAATCACCCCCCACCCCCTCCACCCCGGCCCGCAGTTCCTGTTTCTCCACACCTTTGCCAACATTTGAGGGTGATGCAAATGATACACAGGCAGGCGAGTTGCAGGTTGCGTACAGAACTGAGCTCATCCATCCAACAGGGCGCCTCTTCTCTGTTCCTGGGATTCAGAATTGTAGACACAGGAGGACTTTAAACCTCACTCCCTCTCTGTCTCTGTGTTTTTCCTGTGATTTTTATTTTTATTATTCGTATTATTGTGTCTTGTTTTTTGACAGGTTGTTTCAACGTTCTGTGTGGTTTCTTTCGTCTTTGTCCCTGAGTGCACTTGGTCCTTGGGGTCAGTTCCCACAGTAGCTCTGCTTGACATAGCCACTCTCTCTCTCCCTGGTCCCCACCCCCTGAAGCCTCTTACCTAGTGGCTTTGGCAATCTGCTTTTCCTGCTTCTGGTCTTCCCTAAACTAATCCCCAGATTCTCCGATTGCTCACTCTGCACTATTTGGGCTCCTCCCTTCCCGGTTGGCTGCTCAAGGTTTAACCCAGCGTTCACCATCCCTTTCCCTGTCAATCAGTCCCCAACCCAATGCAAACAAATGGAACCCTATTATTAAAATGCCGTAACTGTGAAACTGGGCCAACAGCTAGGTGATACATCTATAGCAAGGAAGGTACCAGAGCCATGGTTTCCCAAATCCACTAGACATCAAACCTGGCAGAACAGGAAAACCCCAAGGTAGTATGGTATGTGGCTGGAGCAGGGATTTCTGAGGAAAAATTTTACTTAGGTCCACTACTTAGCTGTGTGACCTTGGGCAAGTCACTTAGACTCTCCGTGCTTCTACTTTCTCCTATGTAAAACAGGGATAACAGAGTCCACCTTACAAGGTTGTTTGAGAATTAAATGAGTTAGTTTATGTAGCATTTAGAACAGCATCTGACATATAACAAGCACTGTAATGTTACCTATCAGTCTTATTAACTCTTGAAATTGGGACTGTCTCAGGAAATAGCAGATGGCAGTCCTAATCCTTGACATGAGATATCAGATTCTACAGTGCAAGAAAGTGCAGCTTCAGTTATGCGGCTGGTATGTTCTACTTTTCTCTCCTTCTCAAGGTTCATGCAGTAATTGTATGGATCTTACTCTTCTGAAACAGAACAGAGAATCTTCCAGTCCTTCCCGTGTTTGCCTCTGGCCATCAGAACAGTCACCGACACCTTGTTTCTGCCTCGTGCTCTTTAGCTCTCCTTTCTGTAACCGCCTCTGCTTGTGGCAGCTAATAAGTCCCATGTGTTTGGTGTCTGGGAAGTTCCTTTAGTTTGCTGACCGTGTGAAGCTGACATGGACAGGGCACAGCATAAAGAACAGAGATAGGAGCGCCTCCCCCCACTGCACGGCAGAGTGTGGCTCTGAGTTTGAACTTCCTGAGGATCCTTCACTGGCCAAGATGTGATGGCCCAGAGCTTTTTAAACCATGATCATCCATTTGGTCAAAATCCCAGAAAAGCTGTTTCCTTATTTGTCTTCTGGTGAGTTCCAAGTGGATTATTTCACTTGGGATAGCACTCAATTCCTGCATCGGGCTGTCTGTCCACTCAAAGAGAAGAGATATTAACTCAAAGGTCTCATGCTGGTCTCATGCAACTGCAGTGTCATATAATGTGACCTGTTTGTTGTTAACAAATGCTGAACTTGGGATATATCTCAAAATACAGATGCAAGGTGAGACTCTGGCTGGTCAGTAGATTGGATTCTTCTACCAAAAATCCCCAGATGACTTCTTGTGACACTTATAAACTGACTCATATCCTGAAGTCTCAGGCACCATTAGCTCTCAAGCATATACACTAATTAATTTTAAAATTAAGCCTTAGTTTGGAATAGCCTTTCCTTTGATTAATGTCAAAATAATAAGCTTTTATTAAGCAGCTTTTTCAAGTAGGCGTTTTTGCATCCGGGCAGGGCCAGTTAGCATATTCAATTATGTGGCTGATCCCTAAGGTCTACTGAAATGCAGATTTCATCTTTGGCTTCTTCTATTCCAACACTACCTGTTTTCAAGAACTCATCAGTTTTCAGTGATCTGCTTCATATCCAGTCTACAGATGATGTTAGCATTTATCAGTGATTATTGAGTTCCTAATTTATGCCAAGCTCTTGTAGGACTTAGGACAGCCAAAAATAAATTAAAGGGTCTGAAGGAACAGCTCAGTGGTGGAGCACAAGCTTAGCACAGGAGAGGCCTTGGATTTGATGCCCAGCACCAAGTTATAATAATAACAATAATAATAATTTTTAAAAACATGAACTAAAGAGGATTTTCCTTGAAGGTGCTCCCCATCTGGTGGAAGGAGATATGGATATGTATACAATTAGGGTTCCAAGCAATTATCTGTATTAACAAAAGTTCAGGACCATGGAAATGTGACAGGGGATAAAACAGAGTTCCAGGGCAGGGACTGTGAACAGAGACATCGAGAAGGAAGTCATAGCCGGACCTGTAATCCTGAAGGCTCTGGAGGCTGGGGCAGGAGGATCCCAAGTTCAAAGCCAGCCTCAGCAACTAAGGGAGGCCCCATCTCAATGTCTCAAAATAAAAAGGGCTGGGGATGGGGCTCAGTAGTTAGGAGCCCCTGGGTTCAATTCCTGGTACAAAAAAAAAAAAGTCATATTTAATCTGAGCCTTTTAAAGTTATAGAGTAATTGTGCTCCTCTTTTAGCATCTCCTGAACTACAGACACCTCCATTCAATCATTTTTAAGAGCTCAAGAAAATACTCAGGCATAGCCAAGCACAGTGGCTCATGCCTGTAATCTCAGAGGCTTGGGAAGCTGAGGCAGGAAGATCACGAGTTCAAAGCTAGCCTCAGCAAAAAGTGAAGTGCTAAACAACTCATTGAGACCCTGCCTCAAAATAAAAAGGGCTGGGGATGTGATGTGGCTCAGTGATTGAGCACCCCTGGGTTCAATTTCTGGTACTACTACTACTACTACTAATAATAATAATAATAATAATAATAATGGAAAATACTCAGGCAAGGCTAAATATTACTCTCAGGGGAGCATTGAGAGGCACATAAATATGCAGAGGTGGCATGGCTAAGTTCTGCTCCTCTAAGCACTGAGCAACAGCCTCCTAGGAACTGGTCCAGAGGTCTCAGCAGCAGAGAGAGTGATTGGTCTCTGGAGGAAGTGAAAAGAACGCTGGGGTAGAAGTCAGAAGCATTGACTGGTAGCGGGACTTAGTCATCTCACCTTCTGTCACTTGGTTGCTCTCTATCCCCCCAGTATGGCTTGATCTTGCTACTAGTGATCAGCCTCATACCCTTTCGAGGGATGATTTAGTGTTCAGAAACAATTATTGAGTTCCTTATTTAGGCTGAGCCCTTACAGAGTTTGGGGAAGTCAAAGATGAACTAAAGAGGGTTTCCCCTTTAGTTCACTCCTAGAGGTGCCCAGAGCTCCTTCATGTTCCCCTGCAGCCTCAAAATCTCGTGTGTAAAACAACACCTTAATCCCAAACTCATTTTGAGCCACTTAAGCCAGTCCCAACCAAACATCCTTCCAGTGGACACACTGAGCCTTTGCTTGCAGCCTTTCGCCTCAGATGTCTGGGGACACACCTGGAGAGCACCCAGTTGTGGGGCTGGGAAGGAGGGGTGCTGACAGCTAGCCTCAAAGTCAGTGGCTGATGTCTGGTCCTATTTAAAGAACTATAGCTTGAGAACTTCCCTTCTGCTTCAAACACTGCTGTACTCTAGCAGCAGTCGGTATCCATTGACAGAAACCCCGGGCAGCCAGCTTATGTACCAAGGGCGGGTCAACAGAACCTTAAGAAGCAATGGAGACTGATCTTGCCTGTTGTAGCAACTGTCAAGAGTACATCAATAGCTATTTTTAGCATAACATATTGAGATTTAATATTTTATCTTTTCCAATTCTTTTACTTGGCTGCGATCATTACTTTTTCAAACAAACCATCATCAGTAACCATCAATGCAAGAAAATATCCCCGGAAGTAACAAGATCAAAGAAAAGCAGATGAAAGAACTTTCTCCATGTGTTAGAGAGTGGGTACATGATAAGTCCTCAGATAATTTCCTGTTTACATTTTTTTTCCAACTTTTGGTATGCTTTCCAGTAATAAATTTCCATAGCCCAGTTTTTCCAAGAGCGTTTGGAACCTGCAGACCTCTCAGCCCACGCTACTAAAAGCGAATTCACTTTTCCTGGGTTGCAGCCGACTGAAACGTTCTTTTCCACGAACTGCCAAAAAGTTTATGGTTTTCTTAATATGCCCATTAAAGTCGGTCAATTATAGGGACCCACCCATCTCGCAAGAGGCTTGGATCCAGTGAGGACTGGGGCGCGGTTTGACGGCTGCAGTGACAGCGAAGTCCACCCTCCAGCCCCAGCCCCGCGCGGGACAGTTAATTTTCTCCACTTTGGTAACAGAAAGGATTAGATTTTCTGGGCGTGACCCACCCCTGCAGAGTCCAGTAGCTGCCGGCACCCACAAGCCCTTCCGATCCTCCTTCCCCGCTGGAGGTCGCTTACCCGGGAGGACGGGGACGAGTCCCAGAGCGAAGACCAGGGCAGCGCGGGGAGCGGTCATGTCAGCGAGCCTCGGTGCGGTCAGGATGCGGCGCTGCGCCCCGACCTCCCTCCAGCGCGCACATTTCCTGTTTCCTGCTTGTTTGGGTCGGTGCTCACTTGAAGGAGAGGTGTTTGCCTGTTTTTTAGGAAGTGATGTAACTGCAGGAGCCTGTCCGACCAGCAAGGATTGCAAAAGAGAAGTTGCTCACCCAGCACTGATTCAGTGAGCACCCCTCCCCGGCCCCAGTTTTCAACTTTTGAAAATGCCCCCTTGGAAACAGTGTCCTGTGGCTTAGATGTCCTTCAGGATCTGGGACTGGGGGACCTGGACCACATGCGTTCTGGGTTTGTGATTTTTCCATATCCCGCCTGGGAGTCTTTGGGACTGCCTAGAACCTAGGACAGCTCTGTCCAGTGAAACTGTGCTGGTGGAAATGCAAACCCGGAGCTGTCCAGGTCAGTAGTCACCAGCCGCACTGCGCTGGCTACTGAGTGCTTGAAATGAGCCTAGTGCAAACTGAATTTTTTTATTTAATTTATTTAACTTTTTCTAGTTATAGATGGATGGCATGGCTTTATTTTGTTTATTTGTATGTGGTGCTGAGGGTCGAACCCAGTGCCTCACACATGCTAGGCAAGTGCTCTACCACTGAGCTACAGCCCCAACTATTTTACTTATTTTTAAATTAATTTAAACAACTCAATGGTTTCCATGTTGGAGAGCATAGGCCCAGAGGACAGGGACCATTTCACCATTAGAAAACTGCCACACAGATTCTCTACCCAGCTCATCTCCCTCCTCTGTTCTCAGGCCCATCTGGAGGCAAGAGATGAGGCTACAGGCACGCTCAAGGTAGTACTCTGCTGGCTCAAGGTAGTACTCTGCTGGTTCAAGGTAGTACTCTGCTCGCTGGGGCTAACCCATCATTCAGAGGATCTACTTCCAGAGGCCAAAATAATGTCAGGCAGGAAAGGGAGTGCATATCACCCTTCTTCCTTCTTGCATTCATTATAAATTTCTCAGAAGTTGTTCACATCAAGCAAAATGGGACTGGATCAGATTAGAATGAGAATGGAAATCCCACCCCACGGAAACGAAGCAGGAAGGAATGTCTGTTACATACACTGTAGAGATCAGAGTATGTTCAAGTTTGTTCAAGTTTTTGTTGTTGTAGTTATTGTTTTGTGGTAGTGGAGACTGAACCCAATGTGCTCTACCACTGTGCTACATCCCCAGCCATTTTTTTTTTTTTTTTTTTTTGAGACAGGGTCTCACTAAGTTGCTGAGGCTGGCCTCAAACTTGCAATCCTCCTGCTTCAGCCTCTCAAGTACCTGGGATTACAGACGTGCACCAGTGTGCCCAGCATGTACTAGGTTTTTGTATGCTATCTGAAGTCTTTCTCATGGTTCAGGTTTAGGGCCTAAGCATCACTAACTGCAGTCTCCTAATCATGTTTGCTGCTGTGCAGAGAGAAAGGCCTGGGACTCATCTCATGTCTAAACCCTTCCATGCACCATGCAGATTACTATCTGGGTTACTCCCTCCTTCCTTCCTTCCTTCCTTCCTTCCTTCCTTCCTTCCTTCCTTCCTTCCTTCCTTCCTTCTTTCCTCTTTCTTTTTCTTTTCTTTTCCCTCCCTTCCTCCCTCCTCCCCTCCCTCCCGCCCTCCTTTCCTTCCTTCCTTCCTTCTTTCTTTCTTTCGCACTGGAATTGAACCCTAGTGCTTACCCACTGAGCCACATCCCCAACCCTTTTTATTTTTTATTTTGAGACAGGGTCTCCCTAAGTTGCTTAGGGCCTTGCTAAATTGATGAATCTGGCCTTGAATTTGTGATCCTCTTGCCTCAGCTTCCAGAGCCACTAGGATTATAGGCGTGTACCACCACACCTGGAGAGGCACACCCAGAGAGTCACTTTATCTTTGGTGATCCGATTGGTGTAAACACAGAAGATAACTGGAATTCCTCAGCCAGGGTCACAGCCAGGAACTTTTTCTTTAGTGTATGGCTGTTTTTCAATGTCATAGTCATGTTTATCTTAGTTCTTATCTACAGGAAATAGGTTGGTGATTCATGTAATAAACAGTTTGTTCATGGATTTACAGTATGCATTTAATGTTTTAAATTGGCAATTAAGTGAACTCTTGATAAACTATGCTTTTTTCACTTTAGAAGATAACACAGAACAGCAGAAGAAAATAGACATGTTCAAAACTGGATCACTGACTTGAAAACAACAGGGAAAGAACTATTCACTGAACTCTTGCAGAGCATGTGAATACACCACTGGCTTCCAGACCCTCTAGCACTGAGCTCAGGAAGCAGTTACTCCTGCAGCAGCAAGCATTTCTCCGGTTGAGACACACGCGTGCAAGAGAGAAGGCCCAGGGCCTGGGAGTTCTTTCCTTTGACTATTTCCAAACTATTAAAGCATTGTTGCTTCAAGGCTTGAGACACGTATTTGGCAAAAGGAGGTTGCCAGCTTTGGGTTCTTCCTTGTTAAAACTACAGATTGCTGGGGAAGTTTTTGCAGTTGGGTATCTGGGGCTGGACCTCAGACTATCTTATTGTGCAGTCCTCCCTCTGAGCCCCAGGGAATGGCCAAACAGCTTGCTGGAGTTTCAACAAGTGTGCTTTGTGTTGCTTCTAAGCAGCACAACCCTAAATCAGTTAGAATGGTGTACAAAATAAACTGAAGCCACAGAGAAACCCTGCACAGGCATGTAATTTTCTTTTGACCCCAGTGTTTGCTAAGACCCTTAGCTTGATAAAGCTGATCTTAAGGGAAAGAAAATTACCATCATTGATCAGAAAACGGTAACACCCCAGCGATCTATCTGCTGCAGTTAAAATCACAGGGAGACTGTATGGCAGGGAAAGGGCTATTTACCTCTGTTTGTTCTAATTTTACCAACCATCAATTTTGGCAAGTGGCTGCTCGACTTCAGATGAAATCCTGAAACACTTGTGGCAGGAAGTCAGAGCCTTGGTGCCACAGGGAGGCACCAGGAGCCTCGGAGCCAGGGACCTGCACAGAGCCAGGGTAAGATCCCCTTGGTGCTTGCCAGTGGCTTCCTGACAGCAGGAAAGGAGTATGGGAATGCTCTGAGGCCTCATCGTGCTCAGGAGGGAGGATAGGGAGAGAAACCAGTTCTAGGGGCATTTATCACTTTATCAGGAGGAGAATGTTTTTACCATCACTGTCCATACTGGCTCAGGATTGAGCACGCCTGGGTTCAATTCCTGGTACATAAATAAATAAGTAAATAATAAAAGAAAATACTCAGGCAGGGTTAAATATTACTCCCAGGGGAGCCTCCAGCACCTGAGGCAGCATTAAGAGGCAGATAAAATATGCAGAAGTGGTATGGCTTAGTTTTAATCCATGACTCTGTCATCCGATTCCTTCTCCCTTCGCTCTTGTCCCCTCTGCTCCCCCGGCTCCTCGGACCCTAGAGGAGCACACTCGGAAGTCATAGGATCTCACAGTGGATGCGAACTCCCTTCCCTCCATTCCACTTCCCATCGCCAGCGCTGAGCCATGGGTGCCCACGCCCGCACATGCGCACACGCAGCTTCCTCTCTCATTCATGCACACTGTGGGAATAAATGAGGATGAGCAAAGGCTGTTTAATTCAGGGCTTGCTCCAGGGTGGGACACAGCTGCCATCACTTGCATTTTGCAGAGACACAAAGGCAGGCAGGACTCACAGTGGATCCACGAGGAGGCTTCAGCTGGGCCGTGACAGTCACCCATCAGCGGGGGACTAGCAGCAAGTTTGCCTGTGGGTTCCAGTAACTGTATTTGGGCTTCTCTGAAATTAGAAGTGGAGATGGAAACGAGGGTAGCTGTCGGATAGTGAGCCGATTCCTGCCTTCCAGGATCGGCTTCCTGGGCTGGCTACTGCAGATCACGAGTCCATGCTGGACTTTTTATGTATGAGCTGTCCACTGGCCATGTGTAATGCAGTCACTCCACATCCACCCTCATGCACACTCACTCATAAAATGGGCACACATCCTCCCCCCCCCACCACCACCCACACACACTCTAGGGCTTCATTCACTGACTAAATGGCAGCTGGTGGTGACCGACAGCCCCTTGGGATTTGATTAACAGGAAGGAGTCCCCTCTGACAAGGTAACGAGAACTTCAGGTGGCACCTGAAAATCATTCTGAAGTCATAGGAAGGAAAGGGGAGGCAGACAAAGGTCCCAGGGACCGAAGGACTGCCCAGAGGGAGCACTGGCATGGCAGGGTGAGAATGAACCCCACAGAGTACAGGAAGCTACATCTGGGAGAGGGGTGGACAGACATTTCACTGCCTTTCAAGCTGAGCAGCTGAGCCTCCACAGCCAAATTCAGCTCATCTGCGCCCCTGGAGTCTGTCCCCACCTCCTGGCTGCCCGCCACCCTCACATATTCTTTAGCTCGTCATTCAGAGAAACTGCTACCAAGTTGGGAGAATCCTAAGGGCTTCCTCCACAGGCCCCAGCCTGCACCTCCTCCATCCTGGGGCCTCCGAGGTATCTGCAGGTGGCCTGCCCCACCACAGAATGGAAAGCATTGTCACTGGGAGCTAAGGTGGCACTAGGCATGAGGTGGAAGTGCAGAAGGCCTGGTCTACAAGGCCCTTTGGGCGGGACCTGGGAAGAAGCCCAGTGTCAGCTCCTGGCTCTTGGGCCTCCTCTGGTTGACAGGTCTCCCTGAGGCAGGTGGCTTCTGTGACTTGTTCTCTAGTCTACCCTCAGCATTTAAGATAGTGCTTAAGAAACAAATGAATAAGTGAATAAAATTCATTTAAGGGCAATTTTTGTTTTGCTGTGTGTGTGTGGTACTAGGGATTGAACCTGGGGCCTCACTCATGCTAACCAAATGTTCTACCATTGAGCTACCCAGCCCTATGGCAGTATTTTTTTAAAGTGGACTTTAGGAGGGGCACCTGCATCAGAGTTATTTGGGAGACCTTATTAAAATGCGGAGTCCTGGACTCTACCCCAGAACTATTGGGTCAGAATCCCTGAAGCTGAGGCCCAGAACTCTGCATTTTTAATAATACTCAAGTAGATTTTTATACACAATTAAACCTGAAAAATCACCGT